TGCAGTTCCCAGTTTCCAGCAGTGCAGACATTGTCAGCGCTAAAACCGTGCCTTAACCAGCTGCAACAAGTCAAATTTATTTGTATAGCGATTTTCACAATACACATTGTTTCAAAGCAGCTTTACAGAAAATTATGATGTTAATGTTTATAATATCTTAATATCTTTGTGCCTTATAGTTGAATTAAGCAGATTAGAGCTGAGTGATAATATAGTTCACTAATATAGTTAATATAGCAGTTGAGATATGAAATATAGTATATATCGCCCTATACGAGTATACTGTATGCAGATAAAGTTCGACATACTTATATATCAAACTACATAACATAGTATGGTAACACTTCATTTTGATAGTCCACTTTAATTTTCTATTACTTATAAGTAACTACATGTCAACTACTAGTCATTAGAGTATTAGAGTGTCTGCTTAATATCTGCTAACACTGTATTTTGATGGTCCTCCAACAGACATTCTATCGACTGTAAGTAACTTTGCAAGTACATGTCAACTTATTCTACAAACCCTAACCTAACACACAGATATGAATAGGTACAGTGCCTTGCGAAAGTATTCATACCCCATTCATTTTTTCACATTTTGTTATGTTGCTGCCTTATGTTAAACTGCTTTAAATTACTTTTTTTGCACATCAATCTACACTCCATACACCATACTGACAAATAAGCGCCATCGAATTGATGCATTTCTTCGGTAAAATATAGGTTTGTGTACATTTTATTTTATATATAAAATCGTTACTGTGCTGTATATCATTCAATTTCATGCAGAGCAACATACAGGCGCGCGGTGTAATCACCTAACTTCGGTCTTATCGCGTGATGGAAAAGCCTGATAATCTGCATAAAATAAACGATTCTATTCATAAAGATACAGAATACAAATACTTTGGATTTTAAAATATTTCCTCAGAGCTGTTTACTGTTTGTTTTGGACAGGTTATGAAGGCAGTGGCAGTATAGTTCAGCTATGAGTGAAACGCAGGGCGGCGGTCTCAGCCGTGAGCAGTTCCCCACCGAACACAACTCCAGCTCGGGCACGAGAGCCAGCGCCGTTACGGTGGAAACAGAATAACAGACTGGTCGTTTACACGTGAATTACTTCTATTTAATGTTTAATATTTACTTTTGATGTTTGTTAAACGAGTTTAAATAGGCAATATGTATACCTACAAACGATAAACAATGCTGTAAATGATAAATAAAGGAAGTTATCATGCAAACCAGTGGTTGTGTGGAGTATTTTACAAAAGTTTAGTGGATTTAAGTTAATCTGTAAACATTATTTCATGTATAAAGTAAAAAAATAAATAAATTATAATAAAAATGAATCAACCCATTAGCTGGGTTAAATCAACCCATTATGATGGGTTAAATAAACAACCCAATTTGCTGGGTAAAATTAACCCCATATGTGTT